AAGTAGAGAGGCTCGGCAGTGTCAGTGTGTCTCAGCCTGTGTGGGGGCGGCTGCGTGGGGGCGGAGGCCTGCGGCATGCACCAGAACATGTGCGTGCCTGCTGCTCTGGGCTCTGATGGCTCAAAGGGAGAGCCAAGAAAGGCTGCACCCTGTCCTGTCCCTGCCACCTCCTCCTGAGGTCCTGCCCCCCAATTTCCCATCCTTTGGCCTCTGGCCCTTGCACATCATCTGGTCCCCAGCCCTGGCCTTGTCACTGACTCTTCCTGTGGCTCTGAACAAATCTTCTCTCTGGGTGTTGGCTCCACCATCTGTGCAATGAGGAAACAGTCTCTATGGTCCTTCCAAATCTGATGTTCTGGGGTCTGCAATTTCCCATGCGTGCCTACCACAGAGGGAGGTTACAGAGGGCAGCAACCCTTGCGGGGCATTTCAGTCATCTACAGAGGTATTATGATCCACATTTTACAGATGGTAAAGTTGAGGCACCCAAAAAACAGGTGATTCACCCAGGGTGGCCCAGTAAGTTAGATGCAGAATCATGACTGAAAAATAAGTGACAGCCAAGAGTTCCTCCACCCACAAGGACACTGCCCCTCTTCCCTCGTTAGTGGGCAAGATGGAGGACGTTCCCCAAGCACGGCACCAGGAGTGGTCCCTCTTGGCAACCTTGCCCCCATAAGTGGGTACTGGAGACCTGGACACAGTCTCCTGAGCTGCTCCCTCCACCTCCTGAAGCTGCAGTCTCCCCATCTGTAAGATGGGTAAGTCTTGCCTGCCTCCCGCAGAGAAGAGCTGACAGATGAAGTGCCTCGCTGACCCCACAGTGCTGTGGGTATGAGAGGATGTTAGAAGGGAATAAAAGCACACCATCCCATCTTTGGGGGGGGGGGGTTGCATTGATGCCCAGGGGTTCTCTCTCTCCGATATGACATTTGTCCATCCTCCTAATGGCTATGCTAGGGAAGGGTGCAAATACTAAGCACTTTCTCCAGATGTTAGAGCTTGGGTTGGGACTCTGGATGCCAGCACAGGGAGCTGCCTCTGGGCCACACTGCCAAGCCTGGTTTATGACACAAAGCTATGGAGGTAAGAGGGGCCCTGGATGCAGGAGCCAGCCCTCTCCTCCTTCTGTCAACCTTGCCGGCCAACCACAGCCCCTGCAACCCCTCCCCCAACCCCAGCCACCTTCAAGTCAATTGCAGATCAGTTTCCAGAGAGAAAAGAGTGGGTTGAGCTTTCTCTCTATTATCTCTCCCTCTCTCAAGTAACATCTCCTTCTGAGGCTCCTTCTGTACAGCCCAGTGATTACCCAGGCTGCAGGGTAATTCTGTGCCTCTCTAACCTCTCATGGGGGTGGGATCCAAAGCCCAGAGAATGTCAAAGGCTTCTCCACTTCCTTGAACCTGACCCCTTCCCTATGCCTTCTCATGCTCTCCCTGCCTCCATGCCCGTCCCTGGCCTCCCCACTCCATGGCCAGAGTTCCTTCCTTTCTCAGAGATTCTGGTCTTCAGAGAAGGCCAGGTCCGCCAGCAGCTCTGGCCTGGCCGCCCGGGCCTATCCTAACCTCTGTAGCCAGTATCCCTCAAGCCTGTTTCCAAGCAAGCGTCTGTGCTACTACCGTCTGGGCTTTCATTTCTCTCATCCTTGGGAGGGAGGAGGATTGGGGTCAGGAAAGGAGGGAGTGAGTAGTCTCTGGGTCCCAAGAGACTGCCCCACCCCAACCCTCTAAGGACCTGAAATCAAGTTCTTGGCTCATCTGAATTCATATACTTCAGTGGGATCTTCAGCCCAGCAGCATCAAGAGGCTCCAGAAACCCCTGTTCAGGGCCCTGACTGCAGCTGGCTGCCCACCAGGGTGGGAAGAGGTAGCTCCTCTAACATCCACAGCCAGCCCTACTCTGGGCTCCTCAAAGGCCTGTGGTCCCAAGCCAGGCCTCACTCGGCAGGATCAGGAAGCCTTCCTCTCCCGCTGGGCAGCCCAGGGCCCTGCAGAAGGTGGCCCAAAGGCTCCCCTCTCCCCTTTTAGGGACAACCCAGCTGCCCCTTTTAGTCACCCTGCTAGTGATTGGAAGTGGCTCTGGAACAAGCCCTGCTAGTGATTGGAAGTAGGCTCTGGAACAGGGGCTCCGCTCCTGGGTGGTGATGGCAGTGTCCTGGCCAGCAGGGGTGCTTCCCTGCACAGAAGAGGAGCCATTGCATCCCTGCCAGTACAGGGGAGGCAGGGCTTGGCCACCCCCTCCCCTGAGCTGGGCAAACTCCACACAAAAGGTAAACATCCAGCAGGTCCCATCCCCCATCTTCGGCCCCGCCCAGCCCTTGAAGAGAGCATTTACCCCAGCAGCCATCCCTTACTGGAGCCCACCATGTGCCAGGAAGTGCGTCTTCACATGTACCATCTCATGTAATCCTCAAAGGATGGCAGGAGGAGGGGAAAAGTGTTGTAGCCTGCCCAGTGTCACAGAACTATGGGTAGTGAGGTGCAGAGCCTGTGCCCCCAATGGCACTGCTCCTCCCTGCCCCACTGGACACCCGCCTGAAGCTGCTGTGTAGGGAAGGAGCCCCCAGCCTTGTCAGTGACGCACCCTGGCTTTTCAACACAGACAGCGGAGGCGTAGAGCCAGGCTACCTTATCCTCTTTTCTCCAAAACAAGCGTCCTTAACCTCAGGCCCATACACAGCCTTCCTGATGTCCGGCAAGCTCCTGAGATTGCATGCAACATTTTACAGGTTTGTGCATTTTTCTGGGGAATGTAGATTGAGACTTTCATCAGACTCCTGGAGGAATAGATGACCTAAAAAAGGTTAAGAGCACTGATGGTTCTGGAAGGAAGGAGTCTGAAATTGATTGGACAAAGCCTGGCCATGCCGGCCACCCTCAGTGTCCCTGCCATCGCCATGCCAGGGGTCCCTTTCCCCTACAATTCTGCCCTTTCCCTGGTCCCTTCAAGAGCCCAGGCAGGCAGCAGGGCCAAGAAGTTTCAAGAAGGCTGTCTCTGCCAAGTCACCCCCACTAAACCCAGTCTGAATGACACCCATCTCCTCCTGGGGCAAAACATCACTTTCATTTTCACTTTGAGCACTTGAGTCACATCTCAACTCCATGTCACTGTGCTCTGTGACGCAGTCCTACCAGAACCCAGCCTTGGTTGCTCCCTGAAAGGCAGTTCCTGGTTAATCAGAGAATTCTTGGGTTCCAGGTGGGCACTGGAAACCAGCTGGAGAGGGGTCCCTGCACAAGTTTAGTGGACAGCCTGTCCTCCAGAGCAGCCCTGAATACTTTGTTCCTGCCCTCCCTGCCAGCATAAAAACACACTCAAAGGCAGGATGCCTGCAAACGAGAGTGAACATACATCTGCACATGGATGTGTGTGCACAAGGGGACTGGCATGTGCCTGTAGGTGTCAGGATAGTCTGGATGTGCAAGTGTGTGTGTGCATGCAGCCTACTTGTACACCACCATAGGCCCACCTCCCACACATATGCAGACACCAGCATGAGTTCACACATGCCTACAACACCCACACTCCCACACAAACTCTTGTGCAGGCCTCACACATGCACACACACACAAACATACACCTTCCCATGTGCATGCCTCCAGTCCTCACACACATGTGCATGTCCAGACCTCATAGGAATACCACTGTGTCCACATCTCACATGTGCATCTTTACACACCCCCAGACCTCACACACATGCCTACTGACATGCACACAGCTCTGACCTGTTATACACATGCACACACACAGTGACACCTGTCCATACCTTCGCTCCCATGCAACCCAGCCAACAGCACTCCTTGTGATATTCACACACCTGCACCCTTGCAGGGCACATTTGCACTTTCAGGTCTTAAACATGAAGCACACACCAGCACCTCTTCCTGGTGCACACACTTAAACACTTGCACACCATTTCAATGCACACAAGTGTACCCCAGAGTCAATCTTATACAACACAACCAACTTCCCTCAAAAGTCCTTATACAGCAACACAAATCATCCCCCTCCCTCAAAATGTACACTGGTGCTCATACATCCAGCCTCACATCAGCACACACTTGCTTACAGGGCCCCTCTCCCCTGCGCTCCTGCTGCTACAGCAGGAAACAACCAGGGCATTGGTGCTCCTTTACCCATGGGGCAAACTCCACCTCCAAAGTGCACCCCAACCCTTGGTCCATCCCAGGATCCTCCACAAACCTAGCTGGAGCATCCAGGAACCAGTCTCTGACACTCCATAGCCTACAGGGCTACCCCCAAAGCCTCCCCTCCTCATTCTCCCACCCGTCTCCCCACATCTGTCATGAGAGTCAGAAAATGAGCTCTGGAACTGGGCAACTTTGCTGAAGGACCAAAGCTTCCGCACTCTTCCTACCACCAGCCCGAGACCCTGTGCCCCTCCAGCTCGCCTGATTGCCCCCCTCCTCCCAGCACCCAGGAAGCCTCACCAGCCGCTCAGATATTAACTCCTACTGTACTGATGCCCTCACTCCTGGCAGGAGCTGGGAAGGGGAGGTTAGTAGGGGACATGCTTACAGAGAGAAGTTGGCCACTCTATAGTCGCTGCAGGTGTTCCAAGTCAGGAAGGACCACCTGGGAGGTGGTGAACTCTCTGCCACTGGAGGTATCCAAGTGGAGGCCAGATGGCGAAACTAGAGAAGAGGTTCCAGTTTTGGACCCAGCTGACTGGGAAAATCCCTTTTTAACCCTGAGTTTCTAGGAATCAGTGTGTGTGCACGTTGTGTATACTTGTGTGCATTGGCATATACTGTCGACCCTTCACCCCGACACACACCCAGCTGGTCTGGCACATCTGTGCATCCACAAACATGCCCACACCCGACTCTGGGCACTCTGTGCACACGCAAGTGCCCCCAAACCCATGCAGCCTGCCCTCATCTGTGTGCACAGGAATACTCCCTAGGAATTGCAGGCACATGCCCCCGGCAGACACTGACCCCCTGCAACCCTCCAGGACTCCCTGAGGTGCGACTCACTTTCCCAGTTCCTCGAAGAGCTGGTACTCTTCTGTGAAGCGAGTGCAGGTGATGGTGGCCATCCTGATGCTGGGCAGGCAGGTGAGGCTCAGGGCTGGGGGACCAGGACTGGGACGCTGCCAATCTGCTCCTGGAACTAGAGGCCACTCGCCTGCCCGAGCTGCCGAATGCAAACAGAGAACTGGTTTGACTGACGAGCCTAGGGCTTCTGAGCAGGGCACTGTGGCTGCTTGCAGCCTCGCGAGCCTTCGTCAGCATCCAGGTCCCCATGGCAACCACCTCCTAAACGCCCTGTTCCCGTTGCCCCGGTAACTGCCTCCCCAACACCTGCCTGTCTTCCACTGCAAAACCTGCTCCAGGACACCCTGGCCCTACTGCATACAGTACTGCAGGCCTGTGTGGGCCCGGGGGCGGGTGGACCCAGCACCCCCAGGGTGATGGACCGACGGAGGGGCTGGAGGAGAGAACAAACTTAGTCCACAAGTGATCTCTCTTCCCACCTCCCCCACCTCCAACTGTGGGGCCCTTATAGCAGACAGGATGGGATTAAGTGGGGCAAAAAGGTAGTTGCCATGGTGACGGCCAGTGGCTGCCACATTCCAGGATGGTCCCCAAGAAAGACAGGATGCAGTTACCCTGGCAACTTCATCTCCTCTGAAGAGACAGGTATTGCCCCGTTGCCCTAGCAACAGCTGGGTTCTAAGGTTTACAGGGAGACGATGGCTCATTCATTGCGATGTCTCTGTGGCTCACTATAGTCTCTGTAACTGTCTCTCTGTTCCCCTCTGTATTTTTTCCTCTGCCTCTGTCTTCCTTATTTTGCTCTTGCTCTCTCCGCTCTCCTACCACTTTGTCCCTCACACTAGCACTCTAGCTTGGGGAGAAGTGCAGAAGACACCCCAGGATTCTGGAGGGATCAGCTCTGGCTGCCTGCTCAGTTGGTCCTCTCCTGAGGCCTCTTCCAAAACCCCCACCCCATGTCCCCACAGGGACCATGGAGATCTCGTCTCCTGGGGCTCATGTCCCAGTTTCTGCTTGTGCTGCAAGTCAAGGTAAAAGAGGCAGCTGTGGGGAGGCGATCACAGCCTGGCTTACCTGGGGCTAGGCCAATGGCCAGGCACCTGCCCTGAAATCTTCATTCCCAAGTTTTGTGGTCATTTTCCCTGCCAATTTCAACTCTTTAGGCCATCGATCATACCTATCGCTCTAAGACCTCATCAAGTCCTGGGAGGTTAAGAAGGAAAAGAATGATGTTTAAGACCAAGGATCTGAGTTTGAGTTCCAATTCTGACAGTTATTAGCTATGTGACCCTGGGCAAATCATTGATCCTCTCTGAGCCTCCAGCTTCTTTTCTACACAACAGGAGAATAAAGCTGCCCTGGCAGAGGAAGGCTATGAAGATGGAATGGGCTCAGGGCTGTGGAGGCCTGTGGGAAGATGTAAACATTTCAGTTTCTAAAAGAGGAAAAGGAAGGTTTAAGGCAGGACCATGACCACCCCCATCACTGACTTGGAATCTCAGACCCTGCACGCCCACCCCCTCCACTTAGGAAAAAGGGTGACTTAGCTCATTTTACAGCTTACCGGGCTGAGGCCTCATGCCAACATTTGCCCCCACTGAGCATGGGTCGGATGAAAAGATCCAGGGATCCAAATCTTCTGGGTTTCTAGCTCACCCCTTCTGAACTTCCAAATCACCTCACTGGTCACCTCATGTGCTGGACATGTCATCTGCTTGTTGATATTCCCCAACACCAACAAGTCTCTGACTCATTCCCCTAAGTACAGGGACCCCTGGAGACATGTGGCTCTCCTCCCAATTCTGCCCCTCTTCTTGAGAGTTGGGGGCTGGGGAGAATGATCGGTGAACTCGCTCTCCCATTCAGCCATTTTTCCCAAGAGAGAAAAGGGAGGGAGGCAGAGGGGAGGGAAGCAAGGGAGGAGGAGGGTAATGGCTTAGCCACTAATTGCACCATTACCACCTTCAGAAAAAGGAAAAACCACTCCGTTTTGTTTCTGCACACAATATGCTTCCTGCTTCAGCCGCCAACGTTGCAATTCAGAGGCAGAGAGGAGAGGCCTGTGCCCGGGGGCGCACAGCCAGTGGGCAGCGAGCAGGACACAGAACACCAGAACAGCATGGCTAGGGACATATGCGGGGAGGTGGGGGAAGGGCTGCACCACACCCTCTAGCCTGCCCCAGGAGAGGATGGATACTACACATCAAAGCACTGGAACAGCCCTTAGTGACCACTGAGCCACCCGGCCATTGCCCAGGGGAGAGGGGAGGCAGTGTTGTTTAGTAGTTAGAGTAACTACGTGACTTACAGGCTGTGTGATTTTGGGTAAGTATCCTAACTTCTCTGTGCCTTCATCTGCAAAGTTGGATAAATAATATTATCTACCTCTGGGGCTGTTCTGTGGATTAAATGAGATGAGCACAGTGACTGACACACTCTAAATGTTCAATAAATGAGAAATTATTATTATTGAGGGACTCAAAAGTCCTTTCCCCTCATAACACTCTCCCTGAATCGTGGGGGCACACACCACCACCTTCAAGTCCCAGCACTTTGGGGCACTGTTTTCTGAGTCTCCACTGGAATTTAGCTCACGTTGTCCAGGGCTACTTTGTAGAAATTCCGATAGAACCAAGAACTGGGGCTAGAAGGAGAGGAGGTCAAAAGACCTCCAGCTCATCAGGTGCCTACAGAATGATAACACTGCTTTAAAAATTAATAAGTAACACAAAAAGCAAAAGTGCAGTGAGGCTGTATTAATGGAAATCTAATGCTGTGAACAAAGGAGGTTACAGTCCTGCTTGGCTTGGCGTGGCCTGACCACCCTGTTTCCTCTGCCCCTTCCCACTGCTGAAATGGAACATGTTCAGAAGCCTGCAGATCATGTGGGGGAGGCCCCAGCATGAGGTCACTGGAAGGGTCAGCAGTGATTCAGAGGAGGGTGTGAGGGATGGAGGCAGCAGAGATGGCCATTCTCTCCCTGTCTGTGACCGGGACCACCATGGGGGTGGCCCATGTGGCTGTAGGGGGCAGGGCCAACCCAGCCCCACTCCACTCCTGTCACCCGTCTGTCCATTCTTTCTTCCATCTCTCTTTCCAACTCTCCTTTCTTTTCTCTTTCTGGCCACCCCCATTTTTCCTCCCTCCTTCCTTTGCATCCTTCCTCCTCGGTTCTCTGTCTTTTCCATTCTTTTTCACTTCCTTTTTTGTTTCTATCTCCCTCCCTTCCTGTCTCTTGGTCTCTGTCACTTCTCTCTCCTGGCCCGGACACTCCCCCCCCCCCTCCATTGCATGCAGTACTGGGGGATGTGCAGGCTGCAGGATCCTGATGGTGATGAGATGGCTGGACAGGAGGTAGAGGGAGGAAGAGGACAGAAGAGGCCTTCTTGGCAAGTCGCTCTTACACATGAGTGCACACACATACCCATACCCCTCTCAATTTTCAAGAGCCTAGCTCAGGGGTGTGGGCACTGCCTTGGACAGGCACCCCCGTTCTGAGCATAACTGCCACTGTGCCAAGAAGGCATGAATGCTAATTCACTGCCTCCCCTGTGTCTGCAAGGCTGGCAGCTGTGCCCGGTGGTGGCGGGCATCAAGGAGCCAGAGTGCCTCCATGGCGCTGATGATTGCATCAGGGGGATTGTTCTTGCCAGACTCCCCACTCCCCAGGGCCATGGCAGGCACGAGAGCCAACATATGTGCCCCATCTGCAACATGCATGTGGCACTCAAGAGCAGGCCTGCATGCCACAAGCTAGTGGCCAGGGGTGGGAGCCCCTGAAAGTTGCTGGGCACAGACCTGACAGGCCAGAATGGGGATCTGCATGTGAACACAGACAGTACCCCATGTAGATAGGAGGGACAAAAGGAGACCAGAGCTGAGTTCTGGGGGGGTGATCAGAGCTCCAGTGTCATTGTGACAGCTGACAAAAATCCCACTTTCCGCAGCCCCACATGTGCTCACATGCATGTACCTGACTGCCTCAGGGTCCTGCAGGGCCTGGCAGGCACTACAGAAAACGTGCCATCCGAAGGGTCCCCACGAGGCCTGTCCCACTAAGGGCAGTGAGCATCGGGGGCAGAACTAGTGGAAATCGGGCCAGGAGAGAAACGATCCTGCCGAGGGTCTGAGTGGAGGGTGAGTGGGTTAATTCATCACAGCAGGTAATGCCAGGCCTGTGTGCAGAAGGGAGGGAAGTCAGGGGTTGGGGAGCAGCACCGTCCTCTGAGGTGTCCCACATAGGAAGCACTCCTTACAGGGGAGAGCAAAGTAGAGGGCCACAGGACAGAAGACAGCAGCTGCTGGGCCAAGGCTTGCACAGCACAACCTGCCCTTAGGGGATCCAAGTTCAAGTCCTGGGAGAGCCATTGGCAGGTCTTTTCCCAGGGGACCCCCACTTCCTCCTGAGAAAGATGGGGCCCAGAGCTCTGCCCCTCCAACCAGGCATGGAGCCCTCTCCTGGCTCCTGGGGGACTGGTCATCAGAACCCAGGACTCCACAGGAAGGACCCAGCTTGGACAGGCTGCCTCCAGCTCTATCCTTGCCAGCTAATAGATCTACTGCCATCTGGTCTAGCCAAGAGAGAAACAGGAGGCCTCATCGGGCCTCACCCCCCCCCCCAGATCTATGACCTGAGGGGCCAGGGCTGCCTCTGGCCTGCCCTTCCTTTCACCCCTCCCCAGCACAGGGCCTCAGATGGTTACACACACCTGCCTGGTGGTGCCAGTTGGGGGCTTGGCACAGAGTCGACTCAGGCATCCTGTCTGGGGAGGACTCAGGGGACCACAGGAGGCAGGAGGGGGCAGGCAGGAGCCCTATCAGGCTGAGCCTCTCCTCACAGTGCCCAGCCCCCTCCACTAATCTCAGGCCTAAGCCAACTGCCAGCTCCCCCTGTGGTCCAGGTTGTGGGCTAAAGCTTGAGTGGACCTCCTGGGTTGTTTGCTGGGTTCTGGGTTGGGTAGCACTGTGAGCTAGGTTGGGTTTGAGATTGGACTGAGACTTGGGCCAAGCCTCTTTCTCAAGGCACCAGGAGCAGGCACCAGCTGGTCTCTCTCATTTGGTACCAGGTTGGCCACAGGGAGTAGGCCTTGGTGCCTAGGTGAGAGCAGAAAGGGCCATTTTATGGTCCTGCACCTGTGGCCCTAAAGGGCAGGGATGCCAGGAAAAGAAGTGGGGACTGTAGCTGGACATTGAGCCACCTGGGGCAGGGCTGACTCAGCAGGCACAGGAGAGGCCTGCACACAACTCATGCAAGTAAAGAGCTGCCAGGGAGCCCTGGCTCCACACCACTCTGGAAGCACCCAGACCATCCAGCAGAACTGGGGTATCCTGAGTAATGGGCAGGTTAGAGATGACTCACACATTGGGGTACACCGGGCTTGGGATACTGTCCTAATGGGTAGCTTCTTCAGAACCTCCCTCCTGAGCAGGCAGAAATGCTGAGAGCCACCAGAGACCGGCATCAGCGTGGAGGCAGGGAAAGGCTCCAGTTGGGGGAGGTGATAAGAGGTAAAAGGGAGGAAGGAGCCTAGGGGGTGGATGGTCACCTGTCCCAGGCAGTCCTAGGCCAGACCCTCACTCCTGGACTCAGCCACCTCTGCAGTGGGAATGCAGCTCTGTAACCAGTACCCAAACCCCCCTCCCCCAACCGCATCGCACCGCACCCACCCCACCCATCCCGCTCATCCACAAGCTGACGAGTCCTAACAGGCCTCCTTTGCCAGTGACAAAAATAACTATTTTCAAAATTCACAGCAGGGCTTTCGCCTACACACACTGTGCCGACTGGAACCTGAAGGGAGAGATGCAGAACTCGGTGCGCCGATGGAGGCATGCTAGGCTGCAACGAGGCTTTGTAGCCCCCACCCCCTACCATCACTCAGCCTGTGCCCCCTCCGTCCCCCAACACACACACACAAGGGCACCCAAAATGGCCAAATGGGAAGGGCTCTTAGATCACCCACTGTACACAAGGGATGCTGAGGCCCAGAGAGGGCCAGGGGTTTGCCCCAGGTCATACAGTAGATCTGTGGCAGGACTCTCATACGTTCTGCCTCCTATCCAGGCTGCCCACCTCTTCTCCCATTCACCCCACCAACTGTGAGCTTCCACCTGCGCAGGACACACACTCACACACCCACATGTGCACACAGATAGCACTACACCCTTCACCTGTTACAGCACTTTAATCAAGTTCACAGGCTCCTCCACCATTACCTTGGCCACTCTTCTAAGCGCTGTGAGGTAGGCAAAGCCAGGGCTAGCACCCCCATTTGCAGGCAGGGAAATCAAGGCCCAGAGGGGAAGGACTGTGCCCAAGGTCAAAGGAGAATCTAAATATCTTGACTATTGGTTCAGGGCTTTTTTCACAGCTGTTTCCACCACCCTTGATACTGCAGTGGCTAAGGGCCCAGCCAATTCCTCTGGGTGCTAGAGGTCGGTGGGCGAGGGCAGGAAGAAGAGCTTCCCACCACACCAGACTGGCCCCAGAACTAGCCTAGGCCACATGAAGACCCAGGAAGGTCAACCCCCGCAATCCCTGCACCTCCACCCTTGGTGCACAGGGGATACCCTCAGAGAGCAGCACAATTGCCATGCCTTGGCTGGGGTCCAGACCTGGAGGGCCTCCATGTGGCCCCTCCCCCAAGCAGCACCACAGAGATCCGGAGTTATAGCAGGGCCTTAAATGAGCTTCAAGGTGGTGCAGTCAACCAGGAACTCCACCATGGTCCCACGCACCAGGTGCACACCACAGAGTCACAAAGTCATTAGAGTTCATTTTACAGATAAGGAAACTGAGGCCAAAAGCTTGTGCAGTCACCTGAGGTCACAAAGCAAGTCAACAAAGAGGCAGGACTGGGATCCAGACACCCCAGTCTGCTTCATTCCCACCCTCCTCCCCCATGCAAGTTCCCCACCCTGTTCAACCGAGAGGCTCTACACCCTCCATTTCCCTGCAGATGGAGACCTGACCCCAGGCTTCCCCCTGAGAAGAAGCAGGACCAGGACTGAGTGGAAAAGAACTTATAGGGGGACAGGGATCCCTGCCCTTCTCCCCACACCATCAGATCCGGTGGGACATCAGCCTGGTGTTGAGTTTACGGAAAAAGGATCGAAGCTTGCAAATCTTGCATTTTTTCTTGTGGCGACCCCGAGAGAAGATTCGAGCCCTGCCTTCCTCTTCATCTTCTTCCTCTTCTTCCTCGTCACTGGCCCAGGGCCCCCAAGCACCCCCATTAAAGTCAGGATGGGCCCGGGGATTCTCAGCCGGGTAGCGCACAGGGATGGCTGTGCGGTTATAGTCGGCCAGGCGGGCCAGAAGGGTACGGACCACGTCAGGCCTCTGATCAGCAAGGTCCTCCCGTTCATAGGGGTCAGCACTGATATTGAAGAGCCACACAGCCTGGCGGACACTGGCCATTCGCTCCAGGTTCCACCAGCTGCCAGGGAAGGCAGCCAGTGTCTGTGGTGGGATCCAATCGCCACAGCCAGGGTCCCCTGTCAGCAGCTTCCACTCACCCACACGGATGGCGGCCTGCACAGCGGTGTTCCAGATGCCAAAACCACCCTCCAGAGAGCCATGCCGGGCGTGGTTGTAGAGTGGGTCGATGTTGTGCAGGATCTCCGTGCGAGGTGAGGCCTGGCCCTCACTGATGGCTGGCCACACATCATAGCCATCTAGCCCATCGGTCACTGAGGCAGTGCCACCTGCCAGACCCACCAGGGTCGGGTACCAGTCAGTGATGTGCACCAGTGCCCGGCTTGTCCGTCGCTTTTGCTTGAGCAGGGGGCTATGGACGAAGCCCAGGCCCCGCACACCACCTTCCCAGTAAGTGCCCTTGCGTCCTCGGAGTGGCCAGTTGCTGCCCCCTGAGAAAGTCTGGCCACCATTATCACTGGAGAAGATGATGACGCTGTTGTTGTAGAAACCGTAACGTTTGAGGGCCCAGGTGATGTTGCGCACAGCCTCATCCATGCAGGTCACCATGGCTGCATACTTCCGCCGGGCCACGTTGCCCATGGTGCGGTAGCGGTACAGGTACTCGCGAGGGGACTGCAGGGGTGTGTGTACTGCCTGAAAGGCCACATAGAGGAAGAGGGGCCGCCGGGGGCTGTGGCTGGCCAGGATGTGGCTGGCGCGCTGGGCATAGAGCATAGTGGAATACTGGCCACTGAGCCCCCAGGCCACACTCTCACCCTCATGCAAGTCGAAGCCACACACCCCTGGGCCATCACAGTTGTCATAGGTATAGTAGTCCACATTGCCCGTGAGCGAGCCCAGGAAGGTGTCGAAGCCCCGGCGGGTGGGCAGGCACTCCTTCCGGTAGAAGCCCAGGTGCCACTTACCCACCATGTGGGTAGAGTAGCCTGCCTCCTGCAGCTTCTGGGGCAGTGTCACCTGGTCCAGGGGCAGGCAGTTGGGCTGCCGTGGGCGGATGATAGAGTGCTGGAGTCCTGTGTGGATCTGGTACCTGTTAGGGGGAGGGGAAAGCATAAAAGGCAGGTGAGCTACAGACCACTGCTCCAGCCACCCAATGTCCAATACCAGCTCTGTAGTGGGCTCTGGTCCCAGCGCTACCAGCAAAAATAGTAACAGTAACCACCAGGTTTTTTGTTTCTTTTTTTTTTTTTCTGGCTGGCTGGTATGGGAAACTGAACTCATGACTTTGGTGTTATAAGGCTGCACTCTAACCAAGTAAGCTAGCCGGTCAGCCCCCTATTGCCAGGTATTATCTAACATGCTAAGCATCTCAAATGCATTATCTCATCCAATCCTCAAAATCAAATGAAGTAGATATTATTGTCGTTTCACAGATAAAGAGATTGAAGCTCACAATGATTAAGCCACTTGCCAGGATCACACAGCTAGGAAGACAGGGAATTAAGAATTGAACCCAGGTTAATAATAATGACAACGATAGTAGCTAACACCAAGCACTCATTCTGTGCTCAGCATTGCACTAAGCCCCTTGTATGAATGATCTCACTGAATCCTTGCCACAAACTAGGAAGTACATATTATTATTTCCATTTCCTAAATAAGGAAACTGAGGCTCAGTAAATTAAATCACTTGCTAGTAGTTGGAGTGGGATTTGAATCCCAGGCAGTCTGGCTCCAGACTTCAGAGTCCCTAACTTGCTATGGGGCCTAGAGCAAATCCCGCTCTCCCAGGAAAACCCCTACTCATGCATCAAAGCCCAGCCCAAATGTTACCCCTCCGGGAAAGGCTCTCAAAACTCTCCCAAAGAGTGTGTCCCTTTTACTCTGGGTTCCCCCAGCATTTAGTACACACACCATCATTGTCCTATTTAGCCATGGGATTATACTCAGTTGTACAAGAATACCTCTAAAAATTCATTAAAAATTTCATATTATCTTTTATTTCTATTTTTCTGTGAACTTTTTTAAGTACCCTCATACATGGTCTTGGGCCCAGTGATGTGTACATGATAGTACAATGATATGTGACATAACTGTCCTTTACTCAATCTTGTATTCCTAGCACCCAAGTGATGTTTAAAGGACACTTGATTATTCACTGAATGAATGACACTTGGAGGGACTTAGATCCAGAAGGGACCCAACTCATCTTCTACTTTATTCACCTTGCCTTAAAAAGAAACTAAGGTCCAGAGGAAGGGAAGGGCTTCGCTCAAGATCACTCGGTGGTCAAGGGCAGTGCCAGGATTTGAACATAAATCCAAGCAGAGTTCAAGCAGGGACTCTTTTTCAGCAAACGAGGCTTCCATGTCTCTTCCCACATAGAAGCCTCAGTTTGATCATGTGTAGGAGTGAGCTGGTTAGAATGGGAAATCTCTACGACCCATCCAGTTACCAAATTTTATGTGACCAGCTCCCTTGTGCCTGCCCGTGAGCTCATATGGCCCTGAGGCAGGAGTAAATAGTTAGCAGAATCCTAAATTCCTCATTTATTCATTCATATCCCATCTTCCTCCTTCAGTGGTCAAGGCCCCCATGTGATCTGTTTATGCTGTCTTAAGTCTTAAAAGTCCCAGAGTGAGTAAGAAGCCTGGAACTTCACAATTGTGTTAGAAACTCACACCTTTTTTTCACTCCCAGGCATCCAAGTTAAGCCAAGACCTGACACCTTTAACCTAGGCACTGGGGTGGGTTTCTCTGTTTTGTTTTCCTTATTTTAAAGCTGTTATTATTGTTAGCTATAATTAGCTACTACTGCTATGTGCCACACACATACATTATCTGATTTAATCATTATAAAAAAACCTACAGGGGCGGGCCGACCCCGTGGCTCACTCCGGAGAGTGCGGCGCTGGGAGCGCAGCAGCGCCGGGAGCGCCGAGGCCGCGGGTTCGGATCCTATATAGGGATGGCCGGTGTGCTCACTGGCTGAGCGCGGTGCAGGCAACACCAAGCCAAGGGTTGTGATCCCCTTACCAGTCACCAAAAAAAAAAAAACCTACAGGGAAGACCAGTATTACCCCCACTCTACAGATGATGAAACTGAGGCTCCCAAAAGTGCAGCAATTGGCCCAAGGCCAGAGAGCTAGCAAGCAGTGGAACTGAGCTTTGAATCCAGGTCTACCCAACTCATGCTCAAAATCTTTCAGTGATACTGGCTCTCCAAGCCTCACTCAACCTAATAAATTACTGGACTTGATACAAGAAGGGGCCCTGAGTCCCAGCCAAGCCTCTCTTTGTACGGGTGGGGCATTGTGGAGCACTAGTTTATAAAGTGGGTGGGCCAGCAAAGAGTCACCAAAGCCCATCTGCAAGTGAGTAACATGAGAAACTTTGGCTCTCTCCAGACTCACCAAACATGACTGGATGCGTTAACAAACACTGAGAGCAACAAGCATCAGTCCTATGGAACCAGCTGCAGGAGGTGGAGAACAGATGCTGGCCGGCAGCGATCAGGGGGCTGGAGCGCTGCCCTGCTGGCTGCTCATTCCACTGCTTAAACCAAAAGTCACCTCTCGGAGGAGAAATGCTAACTTGTGCACAACTCTCAGGAATGCAGATTCTTCCTCCTATTTCTGGAGGTTAGTGGACATTTGATCTTCACCACTACTACCACTCCCCACCCACAACACATACATATCCACCCCCTTCCTCTTTCTCCTGTTCTCCCTCTTGGTTCTTGGATCTAAATACCGAATGCCAGAATGAAGGAAGAAAGGGCACCATTTGATTCCCAGCTCCAGGATGCCTGCCGAGCACCTGGCCTCTCAGCTCCCTCTCCTACAGACCCTGAAGTTGAGTACAGGCACCAAGCTGGGCAGTCTCTGACTCCATGCCTCAGTTTTTCCCATCCAGGAAACAGGGAGACTAAGGCTCTGGTTCCTGAGATAACACTAGTGGCTATGGGGTGGAACTTGGGAGAAAGCATGCCTTGGACCCCATCCAAGGAGGATTAGCTTCAGTCCTGCCAAAGGATTTTCTCCTAAGTGGCCAGAGTTTGCCTGCCACACCCCCACCTCCTGTTTCCCTGCTCTTTTAATCCTGTAATCCTGCCTCCTCGCCTGTGGACAACTCCTTACAGAGAAAGCAGCATGTCTCCTTGGGGCTCCCAGCCAACTTGGGAGGATTTTGCAGATGAAAAAAGAGTTCAGAGAAGTGAAGTAACCAGCCTAAGGCTACACAGATAATGGCATCTCATGTGTGTCTTTCTCTTCTACCTATCACTTCCTTGCTTTTCTCCCAATGTAGTCCTCAACCAGTGTGGGGACCTGAATCCCTCCAATGACAGAGAGGCTGCCCCTTATTGACAGCCAAACAGGTTACACACAACTAATTCCACCCCACCACTCCTTTTCAATATAAAAAAAACTGTTCTTCACCCCATTTCCTGGACAAGAAAACAGGTTTAGAGAAGTTAAGTGGCTTGCTCAGGGCCTCAGAAAGGAGAAAATAAATGTCAGAGATTGCCATGTTCCTCCAACAAGGGATGACCAGATGTCTCCTCCACATTGTGAACATCAGAGAGAAAAGATCTCAAAGATGATTAAACGCATTCAGGATAAGGGTAGGGAAACTGAGGCCAAGAGAGGATAAAGGACTGACTAATGATCACACAGCCAATCAGAGGCAAAATCAGCCCTGAGCTCTGGTTTCCCAGATCCAAGTGTGCTGTTGTAGCGGCAGGGGATATCTACCGCCTGGGTTTATTTGGGGCTTGGACGCCCAGCCACAGGGGCCTGGGCCATGCCTACCTGCCAGTGAGGAGCTGGCTCCGCGAAGGTGTGCAGATGGGCTGGATATAATAATTCTCCAGCTTGACGCCCTCCGCTGCCAGCCGGTCCAACGTAGGGGTCTCAATATCTGAACCATGGTAGCCGACGTCGTGGTAGCCCTGGTCGTCGGTGAGGATGAAGATGATATGAGGAGGCTGGGGTGGAGCGGCCGAGGGTTGCTCGCCGGCCTCCCCAGGCCCGTCGGCCAGGAGGTTCGGCTTGGCCCAGTCCCAGGACAGGTAGCCAAAGCTGAGCAAGCTGACCAGAGAGAAGCCCGTGAGAGCGTGCATCGCTAAGCCGGCCCGCGCGTCCGGGCGCGCAGGGCACCCGGGGCCTCACCGCCTCGCGCGCCCAGGGCGCACGGTCCGCCCGCCGGCCTGGATGCTACGAGAGCGCTCAGCGCCCCGGGGGGGCGGCCCAGCGTCTGGTCCAGGATTGGCGGCCGGACGGCGGGGCCAGACCTGCGTGGCCGCAGCGGGGCGCTCTGAAGAGGTCAGGCCCGCACCGAGCTGCCTCAAGTCGCCTGAGCGCCCGCCCTGCGCCGCCCTCGCTCCCTCTCCCCCAGCTCAGCTGGGCCGGCCTGAGACACGGCGTGGCAGCTTCCAAAAGCCACTCTCCACCATCCTCTGACTCTCCTCTTCCTTCTTGCTCCGGATTTCTCTCGCCTCCTAATTTCTCTCGCCTCTGCTTCCCCTTTCTCCTCCCCGCGACCCTCCAGCCCCAGGCCTGGCCTCTCGCCCCGCCCGGAGTCCTAAGAACAGTCCGGCTTCCCGCAGGGAGGTGGGCAGAACCCCAGAGGGGAAGGGGAGGGAGGCACGGGCTGGGCGGGTCGGGGGGGACACCGCGGGAGAGAATGCGAAAAAGTTGTAACATCTGCCGGGGCCCAGCCCAGGTGGAGGGGCGGGACACCGAGCAGCAGCTCCGCCCCCGGGCGGGAAGCCCAGGCCCGCTCGGCCCACTGGCTCCAGCGCCCGCCCCCGGCCGGGACTGGCGAAAGGAGGGAGGGGGCTGCTTGGAATTCGATGGAACAGCTCCGGCATGGCCCTGTCAGACATTCCTCGATCGTGGAGTCTTAGCATCTCTGAGTGCCAGCCCTGGAAAAGATGCTTATAATTTACTAATCCAACCGGGTCATTCTACAGATGGAGAAAGTGAGGCCCTAAGACGGGCGGGAACTCGTCTAAGTCACAGAACAAGGGGCTCTTCCCTGGGGCGTGCAGTGGCTGTTTGAGTGGCAGCTCCCTTCCCTGAGCCTGTAAGAGACAGCAGTGGAGAACTGCAGGCACTTTGGCAAACACCAGGCGTTGGATACCAGGAAACTAGGTTCTGGCCTTGCCAGCTCCCCTCTCCTCAACTCCTCCCTCTTCCTCATCCTGCACTTCCCAACTAGAATCTTAAAATGCCAGCGCTGGAATGCGGAGGGCTGGGGCTGTTTTAAGCATCTTGTATCCACAGGGTTCGGCACAGAGTAGGAGTTCGATCAATATTTGTATCACGAATAAATGGATGAATGGGCTTCCACAGTCACCCAGGCCAACTCCCACCCAAGAAAACCTCCACACTAGAGAAGGCTAGCGTGGGGTATGTGGGACCAGGCAAGTATCATAGATGAGCAAAGCAGGGGGCAGCTGTATAGCCATGGGGCGGTACAGGGGCTTCAGCGAGCTGAAGACCACAGCTTTGTTTCCAGCCGACCTCAGTCATGCAAGAATGTGGACCAGTGTTTCCGGATCTAGTTTTTCAAGAACACTCAAATCCAGGTTATTATGAGAAATATTCTAGTTGTTCAGTGTTAGTAACTAACATAAAGCAGAATTTAAGCTCTGTGTAGGCCAAATCAAACCTATCTGAGGAATATATTCGGCCATTGGTGCTAGTTTGCAACCTCTGATCTGCATCATTGTTTTCCAAAATTTTACTAGGCTATATTTTTAAGTGGGAAAACTGGGCTAACAAGATCAGTTAAGCTTCTTTACTACTAGGACTTCAAATGTTTAACATGCACAGGAAGGGGGTGGTAAAGCTGTATTCACCAATGTTATGTGACCAAGGACCCTCTTTTTCCCAGAGTTTCTTGAAGGGCCAGTGGTTTAGGAACTCTGGGAAACAAAAACTGCCCAGGTGCATTTTCTCTCCCAGCATCTTTCCTCTACCAAGAGCTGTCATAATCTCTTGCCTCTTACTTAAAACCACTATGTGTGGGGAAAGAAAACAGACCTCCAAAATAGCAGCCGGTGTGAATCTACATTTTGAAATGAGGGCTGCGTAGGGCCAGCCGCTCCTGTTTGCTCAAAGCCCCATATTTAGGGTGACCAGATTTATCAGAAGGGAAAATTGAGACTGTTGTTCTGGCAGCAGAAATGTTGAGGACAGACAGGAAAAGTACAGCCTCCTGAGGTGAAGGCTGCTAAAATGGTGCTTCCGGAGGCTTCAGGAGAGGCTGTGCTGGGGTGGAAGTGGGACAAGTCAGAGGTCAGATGGACTCGGGCTTCTTATTCTTTGCATTGTCCCAGACCTTGGTCAGGAGGAACTGGACAGGGCTGCTTTCCACCTGCTCCATGCACAAAGAGAAATAGCAAGCGGAATGGGGTGGGGACTCCACCTGAATGAAAAAAGGCCCAGGGAGACAAGATCACAGGCTGCACATCTCTGTGGGGCTATCATAGGGGCAAGAAGGGTAGTATTTCAGAGTTCTAGACTGTGGGCTTTCACATCAAACGGCCTGAGTTCAAATCCTGCCATTTATTTGGGGTCTGGCCTTGGACAAGTTATCTTACCTCTCTTGGCCTCAATTTCTTTGTCTGTAAAATGGGATAATAATATAAAGGAGATATAATATAATATAAAGGATAATAATATACAGCACATAGTATACACAATGAACGTGAACGATTATAATGATTGTTCTCTGTGTTTTGAGAGAAAGGACTAAATCCTGTGAGTGAAAGTTGCTGGGAGACAGGTTTCTGGCCAATTTAAGGAATTACTTTTGTAGGAAATCTGGCAGCTTGCTTGATAAAAGGATGGCAGTGATGGGTGAATGAATCACCATGTGGAGAGGAGTGGGTGAACCTCTCGAGCCCAACTCTTGTTCCCCAGTGTTCACAATTCTCTTAAAAGTGTCTCAATCGGAGGGCAACATTCCCCCCTAATGTTCTAGGGAAATAAACACGGACCCTCAGCTCCTTCTTTAATGCCATTACACAGCTGGGCCAGGCTGGAACATTTAAACCAGACATTTCCAAAGGCTTGGTGATGACAAAGAGGAAATAAACACAAAGTGTAATGAGAATCCAGGTCATAAAGCTTTCAGGATAAGCTCATTTACATTTCCTTTGTGTTGTCTTCAAGGTACCTCCTTGCCTTCTTCCCTGGGACAATGTCCATCAGCCCTACCCCCACCCAGGAAGACTCTCAAAATTCCAAGATGTATCAAGTTCAGGCCCAAGAAATAAGGCTCCGAGAAACAGACGTTCCCTCTCTAGCCAAGCTAAAACGAGCCTTTGCGGTTTCCATCTCAGGACCCAGCTGTTTCCAAGATGATTGACATCAAGAATGTCCACCCCATACAGGAAAGATCTGTCACCCCATTCACATAGGTGTGCTCTTATTCATAACCTCCAAAAGATATCCACATTAAAACATTATAAGGAACCTAACATCTGTACACGAAATGCAGATCCAATGTGGAGATGTGGGTGTAGTTTTTGTTACTTCCTAACTGTCAGATCTTTCCATTGATGAAATCAGACTTCAAAAAGTACTGAGCTCCCCATTACTGGAACTATACAAGCCAGTGATAAAGTGCTCATCTGTCTAGGAGATAATAGAAGAGAATCCTGAACTAAAATTGGGAGCAAAACTAAAGTATTTTGCAAGTTCTTTTCAACTTGAAAATGTTATGATTCTAATTATTTGTCCCCAGACAATTTTTTAGGACATGGGGATATAAAAGTAAAAAACGGGGTGAGTCTGCCTTGTGGCTTTGTCTCTCATTGCTGTGTGTTGTGTGTGCATGTGCAAGTGTGTGTATGTGTGTGTGCCTGCATATGTGAGTGGGTAGGTGTATATTTGGCCATCTTTGAACTAAAATTATCTTAGTACAGATATTATCTTCTTCCAATTTATTGCCCTTGGCAAAGATCTTATGCACAGATTATGCATGTTGTCATCCTCTCTCAGAGGTCAATTTACCTAGGCTGGGCCAAATTAAAAACCTACAAGAAAACGTTTAAGGTCTCTGAACAGTCAGAAATATCACAGAGTTCAGTTCCTTAACTCAGAGGAGAGCTCCTCAGGCCTTCCTCACTCCAAGACAGACTACTGACTTGTACTTCATACACAATTCTTACGAGGCCAATCATTTCATTTCCCAGTCCAGGAATATTAGCAGCAGCTCAGAAGGAATATAAGAGGTGATTTGAGGCAATTTCCTGTTTTATAGTAATACAGTGTTATGGTGAAAACAGAGAGAGAAAAAACGAATAGACATAAAGGTCAATTCTGATGAATTCCAAGAGCCTGGGAGTTTGGGCTATTTGCTGCAGGAATAAAGACCTATATCCACCTGAACAGACCCAAGGGCATCACCAAATCACAGCCCAGCATCGAAGTGAATGATGGGTCACCCTCCAAGATTAAATTCTGTTCTGGACCCTCTTTTTAAGAAAGCTGGAAAAGGCATCATATTTTTTTAAGGTTTCAATTCAAAATGGTTGGAAGTACAAAAAGTTCACACTGTAAGTAAAGTGTTCACTTGCTTCATTTGTAGAACATCCTCCCGGCAGACACGGGCTCAGGAAGGCAGTAACGTCCTCAGTGGGTTCCGGGTTCCATGGTGGCAGTGACAAGGGAGCTGCACTGCTGCAATGCTGGAGGTCACTCTCCACAAGCATGCACTTACTCCTGCTGGCCGAGCCACCACCTTCTGCCTTCTCTTTGCAGCCCACAGATGCCTGCATGATGTTGCCTGCCCTTCGAGCTCCACAAGCCTCTGTAGCTGAAAAGGCATTGGCACTCAGTGTGGAAGCACAGAACCCACTTCTGGGGCCTTCTCTGACAGGCCACATCCTCCTTTTTCTATGAGTATTTGAAAAAGAACTCTGAAAGACAAAAGTCCACAGGTTACCTAGGTCAGCTCATCCAGTGACCACTGGTGTTCACTCTAACTCCCACACTCTCTACTAGTGCATCCTTCATTATAATTAATAAATGATTGATGGAAAGGTTGTAGGGGTTTAAGAAAGCCATACCAGCTGCATGATGGAGAATGGATTGCAAGGGCCCTAGTTAAAGGTCCATGCAGGAAGTGCAGGTAGAGACACGCCTGCCTGGATGAGTGACTCTC